TTGCCTTATCTGTTCTGCTTTTATTTGCATGTATACACTAGAGGGAGCTGTGACATCACATTGAAATGGACTGCATAAACAGCGCAATAATGAAAGCAATGCACAGACATTTTGTCTATGGGGACCGAGCTCTATAATTTAGTCACTTGATGCATGCATCATAGTAGCCTCATAATAAATGGGTTTGCCTTTGAAAAATCATGATCAATGTCACCAATCTTTGAGCCATACAGTAGTAAATACTAACCACAGCTGTGCATACATGTGCTAGTTTAGATCATTATAGACAACTCTCTTAAAGGGATATTGTCAGTTCAGTTATTGTTCATATATAAAGATATTGTTGGATATCAGTTGGATATCAAATGTTAAATTCAGTTGACAGTATTCAGTTGAATTTCGACTTAATTTTGAGCAAAACTCTGGGTTACAACGAGGCACTTAAAATGAGGAAATGAATTGGGCTAATCTGTAAACGTTAAAATACTAAGGATTTCTATAGTATAGCCACAGGACATAAACAATATGCACATTCACATGAATTGAGTGTAGAATTTTTTTTCCCGGTAATCAACATTATGCCACAAATGCTGTTAATTGAATTGTTAACTACTCAACCAGGAATATTCCTTTAATTCTACCAATTAATTACGTTAGTCATACTTGATTTAATTCGATAAAAGGCAGTAATTGCTTAGTCATACTGCTTCTTGCATTGTTTGAACAAAAAAAAAAGAGAGGTTTAACATGAGTTTTTGTTCACATTGAGAACATTGCGAGAACAAGTGACATTTTGTTAAAGAATGGTTTTTATAGCATTTGACAAGTGTGACATTTCAAGTAATTTACCATTCTAAGCTGTAGTCTCTTTCTCTCCCCATCACAGTAATCTTTGCATCCAGGATGAGGGAAAAAATAGAATGTTAAAAAAATCAAACTCATTTACAAGGCCTAAGCTGTTTCCTAGGTAAAATCATGTCTGCTGACATCCCGTAGCTACAAATTCAAAGACATTCAGTATCACAATTCATTTGTCAAGAGATTTCACACCAAACGATTTAAGTGCCATGAAATATCAACATCAACAAACACAATGATGGCTAAAGCATGATGTGTAATGTGTAACCTTAAGCAAAAACACAGCAACCCACAACGCATGACAACATGCCTTATACAAAGTCTTTGAAATAAGCACACGCCACATTGAGGACATTAATCCTTTAAAGTGAGGCATTACACACTTGCCACACACAATATGCCTCTACACCTCATGTAATGAATGGCTCTTTGCTACAATGGATCAAAGCGCAGACCACTGAGCTATTGTGGATGGCCACAATTGAGAATATTCATTTGTCTATGAGCTTGTCAGAGCTGAGGGGAGTCTCAGACTGGCACATTGTTTGGCCCAGCACTCAGTGTGAACAATGCCTCCATCTGGACCAGCGACTCGTGGATGTGCCAATGCCAGAGCACTCAATTGATTTTCTCCCATTCGGGGACCAGGGGTCACATTTAACAAGCTTTCAAGGGGTTGACTGAGATAGAAGGTGTTTGTGTGTACGTGTGTTGCCTGGGAAATGTGTCGGGAACAAGACCTAGAAACCGTAATGATGTCTTTGGTGCACTTCTGGTCTAGGTTTGGAAATGAACCTTCTCATTAGTCCGAGACCAGGCTTACTAGCCCAAGACCTGAGTGTAGGATTGGTGTAGACCAGTCATCATCAGCTAGAGCACTGGTCTGAAAAGGAAAGTTTACCCAAAAAGGACAATTTTGTCATATTTACTCACCCTCATGCTCTTCCAAACCTGTATGACTTTCTTTCTTCTGGAGAACACAAAAGAGGAGATTTTGAAAAATGGTTTTGGTCCATACAATAAAAGTCAGTGGGGTCCAAAACAACAGTGGATCTCTTTTGGACAACTGGACAAAATATCTTCTTTTGTGTTACACAGTAGGACGTTATACAGGTTTGGAACAACACAAGGGTGTTTAAATTGTCATTGAATTGGCCAAAATTATTGGTACCATTTGCTTGCACTAAATAGTACGAGACAGGATCCAGTACCCTTGCCTCAAAACCAAATACTGATCCAAACTGGATATAAAAGCAGGAATATAATGCTTCAATGCCAGACTTTGACAAGCTGTAGCACGACACAAGCCCAGTCGTCTTGTTTGACATGGCGAGCGCCAATGAAAGGGTGCCCAAATTATGTTAACAGTCCTTCTTACAAAACAATAAAATCGACAAAATGGAATACTATGTGGAAATGTGGAATACTAAAACATGGTTGTTCTTCGCTGTCAGAAATAATGCAAAAAGTGTACTTTTAGCTTGTCTTTGGGCAGTACCCACAAAGGTACACCTTTGCAACTTGTCTACCCTTACAGTTTGCATATTAGTACTTTAAGAGGTAGGTAAAGCACAAAGATGTTCCCTCAAAGGTACTGCCCCAGCCATAAGCTAAAGCAGATGTGTCCACTTCTACTCCTACATGGCCAGCTTCTTGAAGAGTTTAGCTCCAATCCTAATTAAACCACCTGAAGCTAATCAAGGTCTTCAGTACTGCAAAAAACTCCCAGGCAGGCATGGTGGAGCTCCCAGGAGCAAAATTGTATACCCCTGATCTCAAGGCACAATTCCTTTAATTTAAGTGAATGTAATTTGCTGCCAGTGAGATCCTAAGGCATATAGTTAGTTTGTATGACTTGATTAAAGGACTAGATTTCGCAAGAACCATTGCCCCTTTGATTTTAAGAGCAAGTTTGGGTTAGGCATAGGGTTTGACCTGTGATTACTTGATAAGAATCTTGTCTCAAGACCAAGGATATTGAACCAGGAGCATTCCTACTTGGCTTAATCATATCACACGAACACCTGAATTACTATCCTGAGACCTGGAATTCTGTGGATGATCTATCCTTAACCTCTTAAGTAGAGCCAAGGATACATTCAGTCTTCCCCCAGATCCCCGTCTTTTCAATCCGTAACAATAGCTTTCAGCTGCAGCCGTATGTATGCAAGCTGCATCTGACTGGGCTTTAGGAGATAAGCTCTCCAGAACGAGGTCTTTATTTGGGCCAGCTGCCCACAAGGGTGGGAGGAGAGTTCAAAGGTCAGATGTCAGTAAATTAACAGATGGTATAAGTTGCCAGTCCTCACCGTAATGAAATCCAGATGACATGTCACTCAAGTGCCGGTAAAACGATAATGACGGCAGCTCTCGCAAACGCTGTTGATTTTATCCACCCTTCGGTGCACATCTGGGCCCCCTTTTCACTGCTCGGCTTTTGTCTGAGCTTGCGGCTGAGAAATGCCTCTCTTTGTAAGGCCTAATTATTCCATGACTAGTAAGAGCCTAATTACCAGAGGAATTAGCGTGGAGCCCATTGTGAGGAAGACGTCGTAGGGCTTTTGAGGTATTGACACGGTAGATGAGATCTCCCTTTCAGCTGTTTAAATTTTGACCAATCTCTGGTTACAGTCTAGCTGACACACCTGTCAGAACGGCTTTCCCTCCAAGAGTGAGTGTGCGCACGCCTGTTTTGTGGAATGTCTGAGCGAGATTAATGTGCCTGTCTCGGACAATGTGATACGAGGCACTCGAGACGCACATGTGGACATGCCTGTATGTGTGTCAGAGCAGCTGGGAACAATCGGTACAAGTAGCCAATGCAGAAACCACTAGCATTGGATGCCATCCGTTTTAGGATCATGAGTTTTTGGGCTTGGTCGAGATTGGTGTGGTTTGAGTGTGAAATTATTCCTGGCTTCGCTCTGATCGCAGGTGTCTTTATCAGTGAGCGCATCTGAGAGATTATCATGTGCTGCCAAATATGCACACGTGCACAATATTGAGGCATAACCTACATTTTGATAGACATCTTGAAGCACACCAAAATGTTATTGCATTTAAAAAAATGCATCAAAAATGTGCTTGCAAACAATCCTTAATTTCCCCCATTTTATCTCACCATCTTCTATAACGAAGTTGGAGGGACAAGGACTGATCTGAACCACCTTCTCCGCTCGTCACACCAGTAATCATTCTCCGCCGTTTCATTTGGCAGTGTAATGAAAGCAATCCCAGAACGCTTCGCTTCGGCAGAACAGAGATAATGAGGAAGCACACACACATGAACACACAGACATCGCCGCTTGATTTAGGAAGATGGTCTTCTGTGGGCCACAATGGGAAAAGCAAAATGTTCACACTCATGTTTAACATTCAGTCTTCGCAATCTTTTCGTGCATGGCACATGCTCCCAGGATTTAAAAAAAACGTGTGTAGTAACCATTAACGCATCTCTCTGTCAATCTAAACACCATCTTCTTTGTCTCTTGATAATAAACAATGTGAAGCTATTAAAGTAATATGCATGACAAGCTACAGCAATTAAATTGACTGCTGGTGCTTGCTACAATATCAGTGTCTATAGCTCATACTAAGGTTTAAGTATTTGCGTAATCTGTGGTTACTACCTGCCAGTTACTTTAAGTGATCACATTTTTGATTTTCTAATATTATGGAGACTATGGGGTGGACTGTTTTGGATTAGGCCAGTATGGAACAACCCAACAACCACCCAGAACACCCTAGCAACCACCTAAACTCCCTAACAAGCACCCAACTACCCAGAATTTCCTCAAAACCACCCAGAACACACCAACACCTACTCAGAACATCGCCACAACCACCTAGGACTCCATAGCAACCACCCAACTACCTAGAACACTCTAGTGGGCACTAAGAACACCCTAGCAACTGCCTAGAACATCCTATCATCCACTCAGAACATTTTAGCAACCATTTAGAACACCCTAACAACAAGATGGTTTTTCAATGACAAAAGTCAAAATAAATTAAATAAAAATATATATTATATCTGAAATTGTCAGAAACTGACATGAAATGCAGTTTGAAGCATCAGTTGTTAACAACTAGCATTCTCTTTAGAAAGTTTATTATATAACATATAAATCAGTTTAAAACAGCAGCTACAGAAACACATTTTCAGCACTGTACTGTACCGGTGACCTAATATACCAATTACATCACATCATTGACTTTATCAGTTAGAATCAGCTACTTTCCTCAACATAAGTTGCCAACATGCACTGATCTATGACCAGCCACAGTGACAAAGTCTAACAAAGACAATGTAGGAATTAAAAGGGCATTCTGAGGACTACTGTCTTGAATGGACCAAACATTTGTGTGTGGTCTCAAGGGCCTTACTAGAACCAAAAGGCTTTACAAACTTTAAAGAGCAGATAGTCATAAATGGCCGTGTGGAAATGTCTTTTACAGCAGCTATAAAAATACAGAGGCCCGTCTGCTCATCCTAAGAGGCTGCTAATCGATCAATAAACATTAGCGGTGGCTATTCCACCGTCCCAGCAGAGAATAACACAGGCAGATGACTCTACAAGCAACAGGTCTTGCTGCCACCAGTTTAGTACGGTTCACAGAAGGGTCATTCGGTGAGATGGAAAAGTGTTAACAAGAATGTGAAATAGCATGTGAACAGATCTAACTGTAATTTGATCTGACATGTCCATTTTAGAAGTTGATGTCCTTAACCAGATGCTGTACAATCAAAAACATAAGGGACCAAAAAGTTTGTGTACGTTGTTGCTGATTTTGTGCAATGTTCATCCAAGAACTCTTCATTCCCAAAGGCATATCCCTTGGCTGTATGTTTCCGCCCATAGCAATGAGGACTGCAGTGCTCTGACCAATCAGAGAGTCTGAACTAGCACAGGGAAGAGCAAGGACAAGTGTTCGGCTCCTTTGATGGGGAGTTTGTGTGTGGTGTAATAGTGGATCACTTCAGGGATGGTGTCGAATGGAGGGCTGTTCTGGCCCAGGATATAGCGGCCGTCTTTGGACTGGCTGAACTTCATGTGCATGAATCCCTGGCAGCTCCTGAAAAAGAACATGCAAAACAAAAATCTTCAGGAATGTTGGGCAACAAAATAAGCTTGAAAATGCTTCCCTCAAAACAAAACAACAAACTTTAATCTCTTCTGTAAAACTCACAAATTAATTATGCCTGAAAATCAAATAAATGCTTTCCCCAAAAATAAAATGTAAAAATAACTGTACTCTGTTATATGAAATGAAAATAAAAATAAATAAAATTAAAATAAACACTTTGTTCTATGTGATAAACCTGGAACTTTAAAGGGGTCATATGATGCGATTTCAAGTTTTCCCTTCTCTTCCGGATCGGCTTTCACCGTGGACGAAGCGGAGTCCAGCCCGGGGTCGTCACATGTGGTTGCTGCAAACCCGCCGGCCGCGCCGTTCTCAAGCCCTCCGGCCGTTCCTCAATCTAGCCCGCCGTGTGTGACGCTGTGCGTTTCGTTGTGAAAGCGAAAATACTTTGTTTGGCCTTCCAAAAGAGGACACGACTAGAAATCAGTGGTTAAGTTGTAT